GGGGATTGGCAGGGTTTCTGAATACTGCAAACTCGACCACAAAACCACGGTGACTGCAAGGTGGGGTCTGTTGTTAAGTATCGAGAAGCTCTGAATCTTGCAAATGGAGAACGGATTGGAAACCCGGCACTTTTCTAGAAGAGGCTTTGAAGCTAAATTTAGTCACGTCATGATCATAAAGAGACCCATGCGTGTAAGCTTCTTAGAGCCTAAGAAGTGGCTCTGGTTTTGATGACATGGGCCACTGTTGTGGGCCATGATTTGTTGAAGTTGGCCTTGATAATTTCAACAACACACATCTGCAGGTTCAACAGGGACCGCCATGGGGTCCAAATCGCCAATCAGAAGTTGGCGCAGCTCTGGGGCAGTCTCCTGGAGGGTTCCATGCAGTTCTGGGCTTTTTGTTTATGTATTTGTATGTGAGGGTAGCCGTATATGAGGGTGCCTTTATATGAGGGTGCCTGTATATGAGGGTGTTTGTATAGGCATTTTTGAGACATCTTGAAATTGTTGTGAGACCCAGGCCACCTACGGTTGACGCCCTCTCAGTTTCCCTTGGTATTTCGGTGCTAGGCCGTGACGACTTGGACGGCTGAGGCAGGAACTTGTTGCCAGCTGTGAAGAGAAATCGTGGCCTCAAGAAAGCACACACTCAATGTGCTGACTAGGCATATGATGGGTCAAAATCGAAAATAGCAGGGGACCGCAGGTTTTAGTCTTTGGGGGTTTCCCTATTTTCGACCCACCGCCATACAGTGCTGGTCCCTGAATTGCTCAGGTCAGATATATGCCGATTGCTGGCCTCTTTTTTCTGCCATGGTTTGGCAGGTTGAAAAATCCGTGCCTTTGGAGAAGGACCGTGCGTTCTTAACTTTGCGGAGCATGTCATAAATCCCAGCAACACCTGGCAGATTCCTTGTTATTCTTATGGCTGTTGAGTGGTGGAAAGGGATAGAAGTCAGGTGTCATGGACTTCCCTTCCACTATTTCAAGCCCAGTGGCAAGCCTGCGAAACCAAGAAGTTGCAGCACAGGTGCCTGAAGTCGCGCGCTTTTGGCAGACATGTCAGGAACTCTTTGTCCATGTCTTGACTTTTTGAAAAGCATGATCCCTGGAGTCTGTTCCTTGGAAGGTAACCCCGATTCGGAGGTGTCGGGTCCCGTTGATTTGGCGTGAGAGACCTCCCAGATGTTTCGCCAAGGAGGTGTCCTATCGAAGGGAACCACCTTGGTATATCTATCGTCTATAAGATCATCCCGGTGAAGTTTTCCAGGAAGTTTGCCCACCATGGAAAGTTGTCGCCGTATCAGTTTGGCGCTTTCTTGCTTCAGGCAGGCGATCCGGCCTGGGAGATGGCGCAGTGGCAGGTGTCGGCGTGTCGCCGTGAAGGGGTGATCGAGCCGTTCCAGGGGATTGTGCCGGCAGAGAATAGGGGAGGGCTCCTGATGGATTGTGGCAATGTAAAATCTGGATCTCAAACGAAATGAAAGGTTCACCATCAACCATCATCTCCCCCAAATTGCAAAGAATTCCCTTTAAGGAAGAACCTTTGTCTTTCAGGCCTTTTCACTCCCAGGGAAGAGGCTTTCTTGGCCCGGTCTCTGACTTCCGACACTGCGTTTTGGGGGAGACAATGGGGGCAGCTTCTTGGACCCCACATGAAGGTTCTGCATTTGGGGTCCTTGATTTTCAGTTTGGGAGTGGTATTAGTAATCTGACCAGGCGCTTCGAACCGTTTACCATGTGTCCGTTCTTTTTGACTTGGTGGACACGCTTGTGAATGTTTGGTCTCATGCGTGTCGTGGTCAAAAGACACCTGAAAACTTGGGTTGGCAGGGGTCATAGACCCAACCAATGCAAGGCAATCCCGTTTAAGGGAGCCAAGACCGTGGCCATCTCGGGAGTTTGATGGCGCATTGAGCTACTTGGCCACATGTCACGGTGTCCCCCAGGGCCCGAGTCGGACGGAAACTGGGAGCCATGGCCATGACCCGTCAAAGGGTGCCAAATCATGGACTTTCCCGTGTGGTTGTCCTTTGAACCAAGCACGCGCGGGTACCCCCAAAAACGACCAACCTGAATTCAGCGTCTTTTCCAAACAACACAAGACAGAGTGTTGCCCACAATTACAAAAGTACCGGGTCCCAACAAAACAATCTGACTCGGACGCTTACGTGCCAGGGCGTGAGTTGGGAGACCTATTGCGGGGCCCTTCCGGCATGGCTTTGGTCGTAGCCGGGACTGGCTTTGTCTCAAGCATATGGTTTCCCTCGTTTCCCTTCAAAACCAACCAAACGGGTGTTCCCCCTCCCCCAAAAAGACACCTGCTTGGCCACTGGTGAAAAATAGGAGGACAGACTGACAATCACGAGCCTTTTTCAGCCTGTATGAGGGTTTTAGAGCCCCTCACATTCAAGAAATGAACGCCTTTCTGCAGACTGAGGAATAGTTGTGGGAAAGAACCAGGAAAGGATTGTTTTGGGCTGTACGAGTGTTTACCCCGGCTTTGGTCGTGCTTCCTCTCTTGGCACTTCGTTCCAGCAGAACATGGCCAAACACCTTGGATGTTTGGGGGTGGGAGCTCCTTCCGAGGTATGCCATGTCTGAAGTTAAGACAACCTTTAGAACATAGGCAGTGTTGTCAAGATGTATCCCCTGCTTCAGCCAGGGCTCCCTATTTTTCCCGTTTTGCTGGGTTTGAACATTGCGGTTTGGGCAAAATACACGTGAGTGTCCTTTGGCTATGTTTACAGGAAAAAGATAGGAACACCCAATCGACAGCCTCACAGATCTCTGCCACGCCATATTTTCTATGCCTTACTTCCAATGGTGTCCTTGCAAACTCTTGGCAAATTAAGTTGCTGACTTGACCGTCGCAATATGTCCCCTTTGAGTTTGTCCTTCAATTGTGGCGGTGAGTTGTCTTTGGGCCAGGAAGGACTTGTGGCCAGGGAACCGAGGAGTGAGATTATGAAGGGGTCTCAGCCCTTGGTAGGGTTCTCTACGGTTGCTTGGTGGCTCCCAGCCATCCTTTTGGCCTTTTAGCTTTTTAGTGGTTAATGGGAACCTGTTTTGGTTGGTTTTACACGGAAGCCAGCATCGAACCAAACACTTTTTGGGTCCATATCAAACCTGTATACTATGTTATATACATTTTATGTGTAACAATGCAATATGTAGGCATATATATATAATATACACATCATATATAAGAGTGCGGATGTACACTTGCATGGTCCCGTGTCACAAAAGCAACCGCATCTGCAGAACGCCATGTACTACTACGACCAGTGGCAGGCAGGTCGCTCTGTCGCCGTCGCCATCCGTCGGCGTTTTGATTCCGATGTCGAGTTCCAGATGCGCTGAAAGGGCGCGACCTCAAAAGGAGCCCAATACCCCCCACTCCAAATACCAACTTGCTTTCAGGGTAGGCTGCCAACCTGAGTTGCCATGGAAAATAAGTTGTTCAAATACATATATATATATACATATATATATATATATATGAATATACTTTAACCCAAAATTACGAACAACTCCGGGGTGAATCTGGCCGAATGAACAAATCGTGGCCTCACTTACCAGGGGTTGACCGATTCACCGCAGGATTCAGGTGGTTTGCTTATAAAATCCTGGTTGAGCGTGCTTTTTAAGTGCATGTTGTTTTTGTTAGAGGGAACCTTTCTTGGGGTTGTTTGAAGACACGAAATGGAAAGCACCCATTTCAGAGGCTCTTGTCAAAGATCACCCACCTGACCTTGAAGGTGAAAGTGCTCTCCGCATGTCATTTGTGGCTGCATTTGATAAGCGTTTGTTTGATTTGAGTGCAGCCTGCACTGTGTTTGTTGACAGTCACGGATGTCCTCATACTTCTTGTTTAACCTTGTTTATTGGTGCGTCAAGCATTGACAGTACCTTTCGGGCGACGGCGGGTGTCCCATTTAAGGCTGGCTCCTTCGCTTTTTGGGAGCAATCCACCCTGTTTACGGACAGGTTGATGCATTTTGAGGGCGTTTAAGCCGCTTGGGCGTTTAAGCCGCCTTTTTTGGCCACTCCACTCAGCAAGTGAATGTGCGCAATCCCCTCCCGGTTGGCTTTGACGGACTTCTTTTCTTTGCCGCCAGCACGAGCGCAACTCCCAGTGGACAGCTGGTGCCGAGGAGGCCGGGCTAGCGCCACTTTAGAGAAGCTATTATTCGAGGGGTACCTTCCCCATTCTTTCTGCATCTTTGAGAATTGTACAGTCGACCACATGCCCTTTTGAGTTGTGTGCACATTCTTATGTGGATACCGCAGGGGCCCTTTGAGCCGGATCGAGCCCAGGGAAAATCAGTAGCGTCTCAGTGTGCGCTTTGCCATGGTGGTGTGATTCACCTTCGGGGATCGTTTTGACCCTTCAGTGCGGGAGACCCTGGACACATTGGTAGGGCGGAGCTGGAAGATCAGGTCTTTTGGGTGCGTTCAGTGCGCTACCACAGCTGTGCTTTTATCATATGTCTTGGAACGGAGGCATGGCGACTAAGGGATCCGACAACAAAGAGCAATCCAACAGGGTGCCTATGTGGAATGGTCATCCTGAAGGCTTTTTCCATAATGTCACAGAGGTGAAGTGGTATCTGGCGGGCACGCGTCAGAATGAAAGACCGTTGGCAGCAGCAAGACTGGTCAGGCGTCTTTTGGAATCAGATTACCCGGCTCTCAAGAGCCTCATGTATAAACTGGACCCCATGGATTTCACAGATGAAGACGCGGTTCAGGAATTTTTGCGTTTTCTGGAGGCATCGCCTATGAACAGACAACCGATTCCGGACGCAGGTGCGAAGTTGAGCATGTATTACCGGAAGCTGACGCGGCGGCACAGTGAATCTGTCCCTCAGTTTTTGGTGCGTGAAGATACTGCTCATGATGAGATGTGGCGAGCTCTTCAACGACTCTTACGTGAACGTGAACTGGATTTTTCCAAGTTTGAGACATCCGTGGAGGAGCTGAAAGAGTTCTGTGGCATGCGCCCGGAGGAGAGTGTGTTCATGGAGGGCGAGGATGCGGAGTCCGTGATCTCTGCAGCATCTGCTCATGCCGGTGCGACCGAGGAAGAATCTTCTGCGGCATCAGCTGGCAAGGGCAAGGGCAAGGGCCTGGGAACGTCAACACCCACTAGCTCTGCTGCAGCTGGGACCGCGAAAGCCCCCAAGAAGCGCAAAGACCTTATTCAGAGGTTGATGGAGAAAGGACTGATTCCTTTGGCAGCCATGGACATCATCAGAGGTTGGCTGGTCTTGGAGATGTCTGCTGCGAATGAGACGGAGAAGGCGTTGGTGAAGGCGAGTGCTCAGAATCGCTTGAACTACGACAACATTCGGACGGCTCTTTTGACGATTCATGAAGATCGAGGACGTTTTGGTGGTCCGAAGGGAGTAGGAGCGAAAAGTCAGAATGGTTATTGGCAAGAAGCATGGCGATCAGACGAGCACGAGCAAGAGAACGAGGATGCTTGGTGGGGTGAGCAAGGAGAAGACGAATGGAATCTTTCGGACCAGTACGGCTACTACCAGAATGATGAGTGGCCTGCAGATGATCCGGGAGAGTCAGATGCCCATCAAGATCAAGCAGAACAAGAAGAGAATCCAGAAGTTGTGCAGTTGATGGAGGAGGAGAAAGAGTTGCAAGCCATGATGGCTGAAACTCAGAGAAGCCTGGATCAGGCCCGCAAAGCAGTTGCTGCCGCGAAAAAGGCGCGAGGATGGAGTGGACCCCAACAATCAGCCAAATCCAGACCGACGAGCATGGCCATGAAGGGAAAAGGAACTGGTCATCATATGCAATGGAGCGACTACGGCAAGGGATCTGGCAGTCCATGGAAGGGGCCTTCATCTTCGGGAGCTGGATCATGGCAGTCCAACATGTACTTCAAAGGAGGCAAGAATTCGGGATGGTCGTTTGGTGGCGGCAAGCACAAGTCCAAAGGAAAGAAGAGTAAACCTTCTGCGTGGATGGCGGAGATGTACGGCCTGATGGAGGTTTTTCCTGAAGAAGATCAAGAAGGGCAACACGCTGCTATGACGACCGAACACGAGTTTCATCAGTCCGAGCAAGGCAAGAGGAGCCCTGCAAAGACCAAAGTCACCATTGACACGGGCGCCACTGTAACTGCTGGAGGGCAAGAGGCCGTCCAGGACTTAGTCGTGGCTCTGGCAAAGGCCAGGCCGGACATGACTGTGAACGTTGCAAGTGACGATCGCCCGTGGTTTCGGTACGGCAGCGGGCAATGGGGTCGGGCTTTGTTTAAGGTGAGTTTGGGTTTGGCCGAAGATGTGAAACTCAGCATTTACTCACTTCCTTCTCCTGGAGTTCCAGTTTTGTTGGGAATGCGTGAATTGCAGCAGTTGGGTATTATCTTGAACTGTGTGACGGGACGTGCTCTGGTCATGGGTAAACCCAAGCAGTTGGAATTCACCCCAAAGCGACATATTACACTGGATCTTTGCAAAGATGCAAGATGTGGAATGCAATGCGGTTGTTCGAAATGCTACACCTCTGGGGACAAAGCAGACGAAGCATGTGCAGTTTTGCTCTATGTTGGAAGGTCCGATGTCGGCAGAAGAGTGGCTGAATCAGCAGCCACACGTTAATGACATTTCAGATTTTGCAAGCAGTCATGACATGTATGCGATTTCTGAAGAAGCGAAATCATCGAGAAGCGCAACTGATTTGTATGCAGAGTTTCTTGGTGTTCCTGATGAGCATGTGGAATTCATTTCAGAGGATGCGTCGCAACTGAGTGGATCAATTGTGGGTACAAAGGTTTCTGCTAGGAGACCCGATCCACACGGCAATCATGTCGACCGCGGGATCATCAGACGAAGTCCGAAAGATGAAGGAGATGATCCAGCAGGCGGTCAAGGAAGCCATCAGCGAGGAGAAGAAGAAGGAGCCACAGGCTGCATCAAAGAAGAAATCCAACAAGCCCAAGACGGAGTTCGACGAGAGCCGCAAGATGACTCCTACAGCCAGCAACGATCCGCGCATGGGCATCGACACCTGGCCGTGCCTGGGCAAACACGTCCCTCAGACCGGAAACAACCGTTGGGGTCTGTGGGAGGAATGCCAAACATGCGGGGTGCGACTCAGCTACACTCCGGCCGTGGGAGCACCAGCTCAGACAACCCATGTGGATCACGGCCCGACGGTGATGGAGGCACTGGAAAGGCTTCGAGCTCAAGGATTCGAGAAGAAGGACTTGGAGGCGAGGCTCGTGAAGCACCAGATCAAGATCGTGTCGTCCGAGAAGGTGGTCTTGGCGCCGAAAGGAAGATCGAGGCCGGCATCCAAGATGAAGCCGAAGAGAGAGGACAAAGAGAAAGCCTTGGAAGTTCACGACCTGGCGATGAACGACGACGACGAGGACTTTGTGGAGGTTCAGCAAACGCAGAAGCCCTCGATGAAATCACCGGCGAAGGAGTGAGCGACCATGAGTGGCTTGACAATTCGGAGAGGACTCTATTTGCAACTCAGAAGACCCGTATTTGGAACTCCATATCCACGAATGCAGAAATGTTTGATAGTGCAAAAGCAGTTCGGAGTCTTCGGGATGCGGTAGAACCTGAACATCTGTGGGAGATTTGCTGTAGCCCGGAATCCCGTTTGACCTCAGAGGCACAACGACAAGGCTTTAATGCAACTAGGTGGACCTTGGAGCTTGGTTTTGACCTGGGGAAATCCACTTGCATTGATGAGATTTTGGCAGCAATTCCCAAACAGAAGCCTACGCGACTCTGGGCGTCACCACGGTGCACGGCGGTAAGCTCCATACAGAATCTCAACCAAAGAGATGATGAGCAAATTCGAGCATTACGGAGGAAGCGGTTGAGAACTCGAAAAGAACTGCGGCATTTGGTCAAGGTCTTTAAGGAGGCCTATCAGAGGAACCCGCGTGGAGTTCGTATCTATTTCGAGTGGCCCAAGTCTGCAGCCGGTGGGTGGAACCTTCCAGAACTGAAAGAGTTGGAACAATGGTTTTTGCAGCAATATTCAGTGAAGCTTTTCAGAGTACAGATGGATGGGTGCATGTTTGGATTACAAGATGCCGATGGCCATTATCTGAACAAACCATGGATTATCCTCACCAATGATGAGAATTTCTTTCATGCAGCAACACTGAAATGCGATGGGACCCACACGCATCGACCTGGGGGTATTGCGGGCATTGGAACTCGTCAGGTAGCAAACACTGCATTTTATCCACCACGGATGGTTCAACGTATTGTGCAAGTCTGGAAACAACAGTGGTATAGAACACATGATTCCTTGGTGGCGCAGGAGTTCCATATTTTGTGCGATTCCCCAACAGATGAACTGCTGAGTCTTGAAGAACTTTTTGGAACTGAGGAACCACGGGGACACAAGCGCAAAGCGGATGATTTGGAAACTGTTATTCCTTCGACTGACAAAGAACGGACCCGGGTGTTGCTCTCCAAGATTCACAAGGCAGCAGGTCATCCTTCGAATCGGAATTTGGCAAGACTTTGTCGAGACCGTGGGTTGCCTCAATGGGTGATTGACGAGGCTTTGAAATTACAATGTGAAGCGTGTATTCAGACACAACGCGGCGGTCAGATGGTTATTCACAGATCATTGGGTGAGAAACCTCGTCCCTGGCAGTTTGTGGTCATGGATGTGTTTGAGATTCCTTTTCCAGCAAAGCAGATCAAAGGTCGTTTTCTTTTAGCAGCATGTTTGACAACACAGTTTGTGTCGGTACACTGTTTGCATGTGGGTGACATGTCTTCATCTGGTACAGATCCTGGTCACAAGATCATCGATGCATTCTGCAAGATGTGGATGATGCACAGGCCGAAACCGCAGTGGATTGTGACAGATGCTCAGACCTCGTTGTGCTATGGCAAGTTTGCAGAGTTTGCACAAATGGTAGGAATAGGCATGTCGGTCGCAGCACCTGAGGCACACTGGCAGAATGGTGTAGCAGAAAGCTTGATCAGGGTTACCAAAAACACCATTCGAAAACTCAGGTATGAGTTTCCGGATTTCGAGCCTGCTACCATTGGAGCCATGGCTGCGTACGCGAACAATCATGCTGCGAAGGTGAAAGGCTTTTCTCCGGTACAGTGGGCCTATGGTGTGGATCCTGACAACTGGGACGGCGAGAAAGATCCATTGTCAGTCAACACTGGGTTTCAGTTTGGGCCCGAGGAGTTTGTGAAGCTACAATCAAACCGAGAGAAGGTAAGCGAAATTCACCGGAAGGTACGTGCTGACGAAAACTGGACAAGACTGGCAAATTCTTCTACGAGACCGGCAACCTCATATCAACCTGGAGATTTTGTTTGCATTTGGCGGACAGGAACCTTGAAGGCCAGAAAGAAGACCAAGGAGTTCAATCCGGAACCGCGATTCATTGGTCCTGGCAAAGTGGTTTTCGTGGAGCCTGCAATCAATCCAGATGGTCGTTCTGCAGTCATTTGGGTGCTCATGGGAGTTTCCGTATATCGGTGTAGCCCGGAACAACTGCGATTGGCAACAGATGTTGAAATCACAGCAGAGATGCTTCGGAAGAACAAGCTGATGTCAGTCCCGAAGGAAGACATGATTCGACAATTGAAGTCTTTTGTGGACGTTACCATCGAGAATGCAGATATCCCTCCAGCAGCCGGAACGACGCACGCAGATGAGGCGATACCGGGTTTGATGTCACCAGATGAGTGGCCTCAACAACAACCACAGCCAGCACGAAGCAGCGCGGACCGAAAGCGACGAGTGGACGAACTGAGAGAGAGATGGGACCAACTGGTTTCGATCAATGAGGCAAGACGACGAGAAGGACTTCCTCCTATGATGAGTTTGCCGGGAAGATCACAACCTAGACTTGATCCTGGCCAATCACAACCAATGGTGATGAACATGGAGGAGACGGACGCGACTATTGTTACGGAATCACCGGAATACACTTCACAGAAGCAAGAGGCGGAAACGGAAGAGTTGAAACAAGTTGTGATGACGGCATTCAGAGCAGAGCAACAATTGATTTTTCATTTACAAGAGGCGTGCATGAAACCTGAGTCAGATGAAGGCAGTTTTGCATATTTCATTGAGTTTGACATTGACGACCCAGATGAGTTTACTCGGAATTCGCTGATGTATGTGAAGAAGGTTTTGGAATCGAAAGGAACGGAGGTGAACTACAGACGGTTGACTCCTGAAGATCAGAAGCTTTTCGATGAGGCCATGGCGAAAGAAGTCGTGGAAGTCGTAAAGAGCATGGCGCTTCGAGCACTTCGAGATCGACAAGAACGAGCTGAGGCAGAAAGTTCACCGGAACGGCATATTCCTATGAGATGGCTCTTAACCTGGAAAGCTGTGGTACCACCTGAACCACCAGCACGTGGACAACCTACAGTGCTGACGAAGGACGGACGTTACAAAGCAAAAGCACGTGTGGTATTGATTGGATACAAGCATCCGGATTTGGTGGCGAAGAATCCTGTGACGGGAAAACCGGAGTTGCAGACCTCAAGTCCAACAATATCCAGGTCTGGGAAATTTGCACTTTTACAGGCAGCAGCATTTGATATGCATACACTGGAATGCGCAGATGCAAAATCAGCTTTCTTGCAAGCAGAGAACAAGGAGGAGAAACGGAGATTGTGGACGCGCGCAGTGGCAGAAATTTCATTGGCCATGAACCTGTCGGTGGATGAGTTGAAGCGTATCATGGGTGCAATATATGGTTTGACGAATGCCCCAAGAATTTTCTGGGCGGATGCAGATACCCGGATGAAACGATTGGGCGGCAAGGCAAATCCTTTTGACAGATGCGTTTGGATTTTTCGGAACAGTCAACAACGAGTTTGCGGAAGAGTTGGAGCACAAGTAGATGATTTCCTGATATGTGGAGATGCTTCAGATCCGTATTGGATCAACATCCGGGAGGAGATCAAGAAGATGTACGACTGGTCGCCCTGGAAGAAAGGTGATTTCATTTACTCAGGATCTCGGATCACGCAGATGTCGACATACAGCATTCGTATTTCTCAGGAAGATTTTTGCAATGGAGTATCACCTGTGGAAATCGCTTCAGACAAGTCACGGTCAGACACGGACAAGATGACGGCGAAGGAAATATCGCAGTGCAGGGCACTTTTGATGAAGTGTCAGTGGCGTGCAATACAGTCAGGACCGCAGTTTTGTGCAAGGATCGGAATAGCGAATTCACGCATTTCGGAGGGCACAATTGCACTATTGCGAGAGGCGAATTCAATTGTACGTGAGATACGGAAGACTGCGAAAGAAGATATCATTTTCCATTCCTTCAATTTTGGCAGATCCAAGAAGTATGAGCACACGGACCTTATCTTTGTTCACTGGGGAGACGCGAGTCATAGTCGACCTGGCGGCGGACACACCGGAGGGTTCGTAACTGGTTTGAGTACACCGGAAATTCTGACAGGTGAAGAAGCACCAGTGAGTTTATTGGATTGGCGGAGTTGGAAATTGCGGAGAACTTCAGCTGGATCAAACAGTTCTGAAGGACAAGCAATTTGCGAGAGCGAGGATAAAGGCTGGAAGATGCGGATTATGTGGCAGATTATGTATGGAGCAACTTTGCAGCGAGAGAAAGCAAAACAGATTGCAGCGATGAATGTGAGTTTACTGATCATGGATTCCAAGGGATGCTATGATGCACTGACATGCACAGAGACTCCGGGTGCATCAGTGGAGAATGCGAGAACCTCAGTAGACATGATTGCAGTTTCTGAAGGTTTGAATGATGAGAGCAATTGCTATGCAACATGGGTACCTTCGGATTTGAATCTGGCAGATGCTTTAACTAAGCACACCCCTGAAGCGAATAAAGTCATGGCACTTTACCATTCAAGGAAGACTTGGGTGGTACGCTTCAACGAGAGTTTTGTATCTGCGAGAAAGGCACAGAAGGCGCGACGAGCAAAGGCAATGCAAGAGAGGGCTGAAGGCCTACACCTTGCAGATTTACCGCTAAACTGGTCAGAAGATACCTGGCTAGAGAGGTTTGGCGAGGACATCACTAAGTGATTTTTGTCCGACTTTTCAGATGTGCAATCCAACCGGCATGTGTCGAGAGGGAATATGATGAATGCATCTTTGAGAATTGTACAGTCGACCACATGCCCTTTTGAGTTGTGTGCACATTCTTATGTGGATACCGCAGGGGCCCTTTGAGCCGGATCGAGCCCAGGGAAAATCAGTAGCGTCTCAGTGTGCGCTTTGCCATGGTGGTGTGATTCACCTTAGGGGATCGTTTTGACCCTTCAGTGCGGGAGACCCTGGACACACTTTCCAGGCATCCTTCTTTCTAAAAAAATACCCAAAACCTGGGGAAACAGCGGGCTTTTGAAAAGAACGATGGTTGATACATCCCTCCCCCGAAGTCTAGGATGCTGCTTGCCTCACTCGCCCCACTCCCCAGTTTCGTGTTTTTTGTACCTTTCGGGAGGACCATTTCAGTGGAAGAAACATACACACGCAGTACACATGTTTGTTCCAAACAAAGCAGAAGGTAAGTTCATTTTTGGTAGATTCAACATCACCTGGTTGGGCCGTTTGAGAATCATAGTCCTTTTGGAAGGTGATGTTTACAGAGTCCCTGTGGTTTTCCCGAAGGGGACACTTGAAATGTGGGTAACGTCGAGCAATGCATCATCCCCGCAGCATTGTCATGAGACACTGTAATGACAATGACAAGTGAGTTGTGTTGAGCGCGAGAAGCCATGGCCAGTTTTCCAGTGGAGAAGACACCAGACCTCGAGACCTCGAGACCTCGAGGCATGGCTGCCAAACCTGGAACACATGGCACAAAGTCCCTTTGTCATGCTGCCGTGCGCAATTGAAAACTCATTTTCTCGCGCTTGAGGTCCTCGATCTTGATTGAAGTGAGAGGGGAAGGTTTTGGAGCCCGTTTGGGCAGATGGCCAGCGGTGCCGCGGTTTTGCAGGGAATGGCCTGAAAGTTTGTGGACTTTCGTGGGATGAGGTGGGCGATGGGCATGAGCCCGCGCGCCGCTTACATGCGTCCGTGGGAATGGCCGCTATTTGAAGCTCGCAAGGCTACGAGGCGCGCAGATGGGCAAAAGGGCCTCTTGAAGCTCCGGGAAACAGAGAGAACTGGTGCAGTCCAAGGAGCGTCGGCCTGCGATTTGTGCTTCGGCAAGCTTTCCAAACCTCACTCGCGATGGATTTGTTTAGACGGTGGAGGGTTGTGTTGTCAAAGGTGTGAATCTTGTGCTACCCTGCAGTGGCACCCCATAAACCATGTCAGTAGCTTTGTTGCATTTTGCTTGGATGTTAGGACTCAACTTTTTGCCAACTAACGGGTTTTCCATCAAACCACCAAAAGTTAGAAACCTTTAGCAGGGGAGCAGAAAGCAACCGAGGTAGGACCCTTTTGCACTGAGTAAAACGAAGGGTCAGGACCCGATCCGCGCGCCAGGGCCAGGGCACCTGGCCCGGGCCTGCCACCGCGCGAAAGCCCGGCGCAGGGGTCCGTCACTCACCTCCCGGTCTTTGAAGAGGGATGCCTAAAGATCCAGCTTCGTTTTTTTTGGTTCCTTAGGGAAAACACGCTCCAAGCCCAATGTTTTTTGTTGTTTTTGTATAAAGTCCCAATGGTTGAGTTTAGGTTGTTCAGTTGCAAAGGTGGCTAATGGGGCCCTTATTGATACTTTCCATCTGCAAGGATCGTGCACCCTTGCCACCAAAAGAAATTTAGTCCGGCAAGCCAACTTATCAGCCAGTTGTTTGAAAAGGCATTCCCAATTGAGGCAATTGGACTATCGTGACCCATGTGGTCACTTGGACGCTGCCCAGAAGGGGGCCGGAAATTTTCAGATTGCGCTTGTTTGAACTAAACATCTCGCCAGACTAAACATTCCCCCAGACAGGCCGAAGAAGGCAGAACGGATCGGTCATGGCATCAAGGGGACTGGCGAAAAGGGTACCCTCAAAATGAGCCACCCCCCACAAACTACCGCATGCCAATGTGTCGGTGGATATTCAGCGTGTCTCTCAGGCGATGAGTTGAACAGACCTCGAGCCATTTCTTGTGGAAGATCCCGAAGTTCATCTACTCAGTCCACTTTGCCATGGAACCCACCAGAGAAATGGCCCCTTTTAAAGGAGAAGGAATTCTTCTAGGTCTCGGGCAGGTTCCATGCTCGACGGAGGGTAAGTTCATTCCCCAGAGCCCTTTTGAGCCCTAAGGACCAGCAAGCAAGCCAAGAGCCCTTTGGAAGGAATCTTGTGTTTGCCCCCAGATTCAGAACCCGATGACAAAAACCCATGTGGAGCTAGCATAGCACAAAGGGCCCAAACCCGTGTTGTTGTTTTTTTCTTTTTACCAGAGGGTTCCAGCTGGTTTCGTGGAAATTATACAGGGCCTATACAGGAGTTTCCGACACTGGGGCCCAAAACTGGTTGGTTTCCCCTTGCTTCCCGTTTAAAACACCATCCCAACATCAATTCCCAAGTTCTAGGACATCTCACATCTCCACTCGCAGGGATCGGGGGAATCCCACCTTGAGCCTTTAATCAGCACCTAGGGAACCCACTTGCGCTTCCTTTGCCACCTTGCCTGGGAATCAGTTCCCAGTCCAGAAGAAGATCCTGCCACCTTGAGACATCCCCACAGATGGGGCATCCCTGCACAGAGATGGCAACTCCTGAAGTGGGTAGTGTGGGTTGGTGCATTGTGGGATTAAAAAGCCTCATTATAAAGACCAAAGGCCTTGACAGTCCCCTGAGCTTTTCCTAGGTGCCCCAGTAGCGCCCTTTGACCCTTTGGGGGAGGGTTCCCCTACTGAAATACACTGCAGAAAAAAAGGGTACCCTTATTCTAACCTCTCTACTGGAGGACCCAGTTTCTTTAGGTTTCCAAACAAAAATGAAGCCGAAAGGAAACCAGCCTTCAGTCCCCCAAATGGAGTCCTTTTCGGGCTGGGTTGAACACTGTTTTTCTGCCACTGACAAAGAGCCCAATGAGGCCCAAGCGTTGGGCGGGGGACGGGGGGGTTGGGGTTGGGGTGGTTGGGATCCGCAGGCTACCAATAGAACCTCCACTGGTTTCTGCTTGGTCCCAACCATCAACCACTGGCATCAGTGTTTTTGAACGGGACACTTTTGGGGCGCACTTCTGTTGTCAACTGACTGCTCCGGCGCTACTTCATCAGACAACTCCCGCTAGAATTAGCTGCAATCAAACTATTGGCAATAGTAGATGGTTCTACCTGGTTTGGCCAGGATCGGGCCAATAGAAGCCTTTCTAATAGTAAAACCACAATTGCACCATCTAATTCTGAAGGCATTTTGACCCAGCTAGACCCCAATCCCAGTAGAACCCGAAGCCGCTATGGGCGAAGCCGCCCGAGACGAGGTCGAGGCAGAGCCTTTCGTGCTGGCGACGGATGACGTGGGCGAGGTGATCAAGGCATTCGAATGTCGGGTTCCTGTGTCCAAAAATCCCGCGGCTGGAACGGACAGCTGACGTTCCGGCCAGCCCTGACATTCGGATGTGCCGAAAATGGACCTTCAATGACCCCTCTTGCAACCATGTATTCCGGAAGGCACTAATTAGTTGGGGCTGAAACAGCAATAGCACGGACCAAGTTCGAGACGCATCCGGACCTTTCAAGGGAGCTGGCCCCCTGGCCCAGTCTATTTGGCCTTCTGTTGTGCCCCGCCGGAAAGTGGAGTCAGACAAGTTCCTTTGAGGGAAATTGACCGCTCATTTCGGGGTTCCGCCTGGGAGGTTCTCAAAATGGTGGACCCCAATTCTCCGCCTTTTGACACAGAGCTTGCGACAGGTGCCAGAGGAGGCGAAAGCTGTGGAGAATGGTGCGGAGGCAACTGACTCGGTTGGTCGTGTTGAACCTTGGCAAATACTCCACCAAAGCGCCCTGTTACCTTTTTGTTTGTTAGCCTCCAAATCGATTTGTTCTGGCTCCAGTGAAATGGCCGTGGCCATTTTGGTCTATTTTAGTGGGAATTCGAATGTTCACTGAGGGGTAGCCGGGATTTTGACCCATGGTCAAATGGGCTGCAACACTCCAAGCAGTTTTTACTGGGTTTATGACCCTAGTTGGAGCAGAGGCCAAGTGCAAAGTTGTTCAGCACCAGTGAACATGTTGCCTTGTTGTGTAATCCCTGATAAAAATGTCAACCCCGAAACGAGTCCCGTTTTCTGTCGGGATCAATGAGCAACTGGGATTTAGTTGCCCAAAAACGAATCCTTGGAGTTTCCGTGACCCTTTAAAAGTGGGTGGATGTATGACGACCTCATATATTTGAGGAGTCATGGAGACTGCAGGAATCCTTCATTCTGCCAAATGGCAGTGGTTTCCCTACAAGTGTCCTATGGATTCGGACTAAGGATCAGGCACTTCACTTTAAACAGCCCAGAAAGGTGTTGATGCCAGACCCAGTGCCCCAAACCGAGTGAGGGTTGTTGGGGATAAGACACCTTTGTATTTATTTTGGTTGCAAATGTCATTGGGGTTTGGCCAATGCTTAGTTTAACTGCCATTGCATCCTGGCAGCGGTGGCAACTTGCCGTCCTTTTCGTGCCTTTGTTGGGCAGTTACTTTACGCAACACACATGTTTGCTTTTTTGCTCTTTTTTTTGTGGGGGGACTCGCTTTCTCAGTTGCTCAAAGCCAAGCTTCTGACCTTTTGGTTTTGCTTCTTTGGTCCTATCCGAGTCTAGAAACATGCTGAGCTGATCAAGCTGTATTGGCGTACGCTGGCACGAGCAACTGAAAGGTTGGGGTTGCTTCGTGGTAGGCGGTCCCTGAAAAAGCAGCACACTTGCACAATGTAGAGTCTGAAAATCCTGGTAACTGGGAAGGGTGCCGGGGCAGGTACTGATCAATTCGCAGCAGGCCTTCATAAGTCTATAGCGGACGACCCAAAAGCTGAACCCTAATCTGCAAAAGCGACAGAGGCCGCCCTGGAAGTCAAAGACCATACGACAGGCCCACAATGAGTCATCTTGCAAGAGGACAAATAACGGGCTTGATAGAAGACCCTTGCTTCTTGGGCCTTTTGACCCAGGACATACCCGGGTAATATTGTGCGCTGCCCATCACATTGCTGCTAGGTGCCAGAGGCAACCGCCGATGCAAAGGCGCTGGAGTTGTGACATAGACTGGACAGCCACAAAATGATTCACCATTCAGGGACCCTACAAACCAACCCCCCAAAGACCTCACCCCCAACCAATTAGGCGTCGTTTGGCCTTTTTTGCCCTCCCTAAACTTTGCCGGGATCTTTGCCCAGGAGATGGTTTGCAGGGTCCCTTCTGCACTGATCTTGTCATTGCATTGCGCACTTTTGAGTGCAAGCATCAGATTTCGTTGCCGAAGCAGCCAAGGCAGGATTTTGTGATGCAATTGCCACCCGGAGGGCAATGACTTCATTGCACAGAGCTCATGTGGGTGTGGCTGCAAGTTAAACAGGAGGGGTTACGCAGGTGTTGGTCCATGTTTCCACTTACCAGGGTTCCATTTTGGCACCGGTTTTTTGAGCCACAGCCAGTATACTCATCTGCAGACATTTTGTGCTGCATATGTGTTGTTAGTTGTTGGCGGCCAGGCTCCAGCATCAGAAGCAGCCGCGGACGCAACCCAGGCGCGCTGCAGTGCTGATGGTGCACAAGTTGACCGGACAGCCATGAAAGAGATCACAATGTATGGATGGATTGGGAGGGTGCGATCCCATCCGGGAAGTCAAAGACCATATAAAGGTCGATTTCCCCCAACAAATCATGGCCACGGATCCTTTGTCAGGCCCAGAGACCCCAGAAGCATTGTAGAACAGGTTGCGTACCTATTGGCTGCCAGCTTCAGGCAGAAGAAATCGCTGCAAGCAAGGCGCGCGGCAGCTGCGCGTGATGTTTTGGGACAGTTGTAGAATCGGCCAAACTTACCATGATGTGTGGCCCACTTAGGGACATGGGGGGGACTCACTAAATTCGCCCACAAAAGCTGGGTGACTCACAAATTGTCCGATTCACCAAGTGCTTGTGACCGCGCCTCACGTAAGCTTTGATGAGCCTCACTTAGCTTTGGCCTCAACGAGGCTTGCTAAGCCCGAACCACAATCCTTGGGAGGATATTCTTTTTTGGGGGGGTTGTGCTTGGCCGCCGCTGTGTGGTCATGAATGGGGTTATAAGCCTTCTAGATGAGGTTTACCGTGTTTATACCCCTATCATTAACCAAACAGAGGGGGTGGGTAGTGCTTCGGACGTGCAGGCGTCAGATGCAGCTGCTGTGGCAGTCGAGGCAGGCGTCCTTGTGGTGCAATGCGTGCGTGAAGGAGCTGAGTCCTTTGCCAAACTTCAAGGGTGGTATGAGATGTGCTGACTGTGATGCTGGGAACCTTGTGTTTTTTTTTTTGTAAAGAACTACGGCCTTGCGAAAAACGTGGAACCCAAAAGGCTCCCATTCTACAAGGAGCTCTTTCTTGTGAGCCCTTTTTGGGGCGGGCCCCGACTCGTTTTTTTCCAGGTATGACGGGCCAGGTCGTAGGGTTGGTGAGCCGATCGCCGAGCCTCAACTCACAGATCAACGGGTTACCATGGGTTACTGTCGTTGAAGGGTCATTTTTCAGTTTGTGTTTCTTCTCCTATTTGCTGAAATGAACATTGTTTATTTTCCCCTGTTGGTTTTAAAGGGAATCTATCAGTACTGGAAACATTTTTTTAGGGGGCTTAAGCAAATGGAAGTTCTTCTTTGTTCTTTTTGCTTTTCTCCGGGCTTGCTTTTTGCGAGTATGTTGACGTTTTTGGTGATATTTGGTCCCTAAAACCAGCCTAAACCACCACACCCTGAACCAAACCAGAACCCACCATAAACCAACGCAAAACTGTTGCAGGAGCTTCAAACAACCTGGATTTGTTCCTTTCAAACGATGACCATTTGCTCATTTCATGGCTGCATGTTCACACCATGCAATGCCAAACCAACCCAAAGTCCAACATGTTGAGGTCGCAGCCCAAGCCTGTCCCAAACCAGTCCCAAATCCACGCCAAATCCGCGCGAATCCAGCCCACCCTAAACCCGCCCAAAACAAACACCCAAAAACAAAAAGCGCCCACCCACCGTAAACAAGCCTTGAAGCCACCCTGAACTCAGCCTAAACCAAAGCTTCGGGTGACGCCGGAGTTGTTGAAAACAATGCTGCCAAAAACTGTGCTGGACGTGGTGACGGTGCTGGTGTAACGCAGGTTCATGTTGCTTGACAATCCTGCACTTTAGTGCCCGCCGAATCTAGGAACACATCATGCCCGCCAAACTTGGGAACCATTCCGGCCTTTGCGGCAGTTGCAGTGGACTATACAGGTAGGAATTCAACTTGGAAGCCTTCTGGAGGACGTTATTTGTGTCGGGTGCCGCTCCACCAACTATTTTTATTTGAAGCGGTCACTTCCCCATTACACTTCAGACACAGCATTACACTTCAGACACAGATGTGCACTCAAGGGGCGGACACCTCTAAATACTGCAAGTGGACCACATTCAACCACAAGAGCCTGTTCAGGTAAATCACAATGCGTCCATTGCTCCCTTTGCTCATATGTCCCAGCGACTCTCAGCAGTTGCCCTCGTCAGCTTCCAGGCATCGGAAGCCGTTCCGGAGGCGACGGAGGCAGGCTTTACTGGACCTGGTTGAAGCGTATGCCTGTGACTTTGTCAAGGCATACGCTACTCTTCCAGGTATGGGTGTGGGATAATATATGGCTGTGGGTCAAAAGCAATGGGATCCCATTTTGGGGTAGGTGCACCACCCATTTTGGAGCCTATTTAAGGGGGATTGGGCCTATTTAAGGGGGATTGGGCTGTTCACTGGGGTTACGGGCTGTTGAGCCATGGCCATGCATTGTATATAGTATACTATCAGGGTACACCGCGGCGAAGCTGAAATCGTTGCTGCTTTTTGGGGTCGGTGGCGCATGGTGCATAAGAAGCAATTGCAGGCACCGCATTGTGGTCCGGCAGCTTGCCCAAACGGCTTGCGCAGTTTAAGGTTGCTTGGTGTTCGTTCCTGGACCGCATTTTTGTTGCAGAGGCTTGTGCACTCCGCACTTGCTCACATCCCGCACAGGCTTTGCATACTTGCCTTGGAGGTTAAAACTAGGCCCGTAAAAAGCTACGATTTCGAGCGGTGTTTCTACAAACGATTCAATTCCGAAAATGGCAAGGGCTTCTTCTTTCTTTTCTCGTATGGGTTCAATTTGGCATCAACTAAAACAGCTGTCCTATGCCATCCTTTTTCCCAACCAAACGAGGCGGTCTATGTGTTAACGCCAACTGATTTTGTATGGCTTTCTCCTGTGCAACCAAGAAAAGCTGTCAGCTGTCCTGGTTTCCGATAGGCACCAGGCAAGCAAGCTTTTGACCATGCTGTTGACTGGAATGAATTCGGGGGGTTTTTTGGGGTGTGTTGAAGATCGACCCCACAAAATCCTGCACCACTTTGAAGCCATGGAAAACCATTGTTTGTTGGTAGTTCCAGGGTTTCTTAGGTGGTGCAGGATTGCGTCCATCCGCAGTATCAACCAAGAAAGAGCCTTTCCTTGGGGCTGGGTTTGTCTTTTTCTGACCCAAGGCGACCTTCGAAAGTTAAAAAAACCGAGCCGTTAAAAGATGACCAACCCCCGCGTGGAAAATATCATCGGTCGACAGTTTCCTCTGGCCGATATATCAGGGGCCGATATATCGCTCCACGGGTTTCGGAGCGAAGACCAAATTTCGAGCAGGCGCCGATGGATGCGCTGGCACCGCATCCTCCTGAGGCGGGCTGGGGTCGTGTCAGGGACCCTACATTCTTACCTCCAAAAACAGAGGACATGTGGAAAGCCAACCTAGGAGCATGAATGAAAATAATGCATCAGTCTCCGACACTGGAGAGCCAAGTGAAAGGCGTTCGCTTGGTGGTGCTGGTGCGGTTTTTGCGCCCCACATACTACATATGATATATATATATATATGTACACACCCTTTTACACACCAGCTGTATCCAATTTGTAGGTTGGCAAACCTTTTTTTGTTTCGCGTGATATTTGCGGTTGGAGCACGCACCTCCCAGGGGCATGCTATGATTACCATTCTACTGGCGTAGCTACGCACCCTGGTATATACCACATAAATCAATTTCTCTATATATATATATATGTACACATGCACACATGTAATTAGTTACGTCTACATACATATGTATATATATATATATGTCTGATATATATATACACATGGAATCAATTACCTAAGATGAAAGGTCAACCATACCTCACCAATTTCCCCCAAGCAACCAATGGGCTGTACCAGAGTTCTCGCTTTTGCCCCTTTAAACATTATCCCTACAGGAGGCTCGGATACAATTGGGCCCAACAGGTGATGCTTAAAAGCACGAAAAGGGGCATACTATGAGTGGCTCAACAATTTCCAATCAAGTCCGGATGACTAGATTATGTTCAACAAATCCGCCACTTCGAACTATTTTCGTCTCTGATATCATGGGGGCTGGGCGGAGGGAGGGGGAGGGAGCCCAAAAAGGCCCTGAATAAGGCCTTATCAAGGGCTTCATACTGGCTTATTTGGGCTCCCTCCCCCTCCCCTCCCTCCCCCCCAGCCTCCATGATGATACTCTGCCCCTATTTGCTGCGACCACGTTTTGCTCGGGGCACGTGAACTCTGCGGTCAGCCTCGAGGCTTTGGAGGTGCTGGCTGCCTTGGTCAAGGTCCGGAGCCCACGGATTCGTCTCACCGGGGAAGGGGTCGTTGGTTTGCAGATGTCTGGGTGTGAAAGTCAGAACATGGGGGACATGGGGTTGTTGTGGTTTTTCCTTTAACCACTTGTGGGGTGACTTTGAGGTACACACCCCAACTCTAAGATTGGTTAAGCCCCACCCTGGCTTGTGCCAGGCCGCCCCTATATCTCATATTTGCACAAAGTCTCCTGCAGATTGACACGGAACATTCAACTGCATTTGTTTGGAGGAATTCCTTTTCGTGGTCACCTCCCATTATGCAGGTGGCTGAGCAATGAAAACAACCCCCCGAACAGTTTGAGGGGACCCAATAGCGCCCAATACGGAAACCGCTAAAACATCGTAGGGGTCGGAGGGTCGGATGTGCCCCCCTCCTTTGCCCGGTTGCTCATGTTTGGAGGGTTGCGTACTTTAACTTATTGGACAAATGTACAAAGTGTGAGGGTGTGGAGCCCACAGTTTGGTCAAAAAGGCTTCCAACTACAAAAGGACCCGATGTTTGTGTGCGTGTGTGATTGTTTTTTTCAGCCTTGAAAGCATCAAGTCACCCTGAATTGGTGGTTTGGATTGGTGGTTTGGATAGTGGGACCCCTAGTTGCTTTTGATTCCTCTTGCAACCGCCTTTTGTGGAGGGGGTCCGAAAGGTATGACCTTTGTTTTTGATTTGGTGAACATCATAATTTGGGGATGAGTCCAAGTCTTGAAATTCCAATGGTTTGGTTCATCACACGGCATGGTTGGCTTCCTTTGCCTGACAAAGAGCCCATGGTAGATGCTAGAAATGGGGGTGGCACCAGTTCGGATTGGGGGTGTATCCTTCGGGGTTCATGTGTTTCACCTGGTGCCTGCCGCGACTTTCTGATCAGTGTTGAAATTCAGAGCTGGAACAAGGATGCTTTTGAAGGCAGCTCCTTGATCCTTCCAAACCCAGGCGTCTGGTCCCCCCCCGGGCCTCGAGGGTGAGAAGGCACCGAAGGGGTTTTGGGCGAAAGGCGCCAGGTGTCAGACGTTCCGCTCTCCAAATGGGGACGTGTCAGCATAGGGAGCCCCCCCAAAATGGGCGGTTTCCCTTTGTCCCCCCTTTCAATAGGCTCAAAAAAGCACACCCAAACGGGTCCCTCAACCGAAATCAAGGGACCCCTGTAGATTCTGGCGGTAGTGTACAGCCCCATTTGATTTTGGGGTCATGGAGACTTCCGGCATGCATGTATTTTTTCTGGTTGGCTGGTACTTTTCTCTCCAATAAAGACACGGACCGAGTGGTTCACCCGAATGGAACCCTCAAATGTGGCAAGTGGACAGATTTTAATTTTTGCTCTCTTTCTTTGTCCTTTTGGCCTGGGCCCTACAAGTTTGACACTCTTTAGCCAGTGACCTTAGGAGGTTAACAAAGGGGAGACTTTGGAAATCTGGATCATCACCTTTTGGTTGGACATGTTTGGACCAAATCAAGGTGAGTTTCCTTTGGACCAGTTTAAGGTTTTCCTCGGTTTGCTTTTGACCACTCTACAGCGGGGGTGAGTTTTGCTGCGAACAAGTTAAGGTGCGGTTGCTTTGGATCGGGTGAAGTCTGAAGGGGAACTGTAGGCACTATCAGCTTGCGCTCATGGGGAAACGGTTGGGGCTGGTACGCCTCTCAAGGGGCGGAAGGTACAATGGGGAACAAGGATCCAAAGGAAGCCAAAGGGAAGCCAAAGGAAGCCAATGACTTTGGGGTAAGACAAACCTGAACGTCTTGGCAATCGCATGTTTTCAGTGTTTGGTTGGATTTTATTTTATAGTTTTGGTAGTCGGAACCAAGTAACTGGACTTGACAGTCAACTCGGGTGAGTGTTCACTCGGCCTTTTGCTTGGGTCTGTCGATCTTTGAGGGTTGGGGGGGATTTTGAAGGATCGATACTGGCAAGCCAGTTGGATGGGTTGCTGTTGGGTTAGATCTTGATCTTTAGCTTTCGCTGGAACATGCGTGCAGAGGGTAATGGCCACATGATGTTTGGGGCCTAAGGAGAATGCTTGTGAACACCTTATCATCCACCCAACTGTTAGGGGGGTCTTCTTTGTGGGGTGGATTTGTATGGTTGCTAGATCTCCGCGATGCATGGTGCTCTTTTGACCTGATTTGTTTGGGGTTCCAATGCCCTCGCAATGATTTGGGCTCGGCCGGCCTTCTGGCCCTTAAAGGTTGGTCACCCCTTTTTTGAGCAATGCCAACCCCGGAAGAAACCCGAAACCCTAGTAAGGGGTTCCCTCCAACGGTGCGCCTCCACTTTGTAGGAGACGCCCTCTATCAAACGACCAGGGGTTTAGCCCAGGAGCCCAAGGATTTGGATCGGATGCGCGCGTCCCATGAGAAAACCGGTTGACATTCGTCACCAGTCACCAAACAGGAGGTTCTTTTGGACAGGGCCTTAATGGGAACTCCGGATTTCGAGAAATCCCCCCAACTGTGACGTGGGTGTTTCTGAACCCCCGCCCACCGCCAAAGTTGTTGGTTTCCTTGCTGTTTCCCTTTCATCAAACAAAAGGGGGTCTGGAATCCATTATGGTGTGTCTGTTTTTCGAGGCTACCCGTGTTAACAGGGAACACCACGAGGAAAACCCATCATTTAGGGTGGCCCCCCCAAAAACCTTGCTGGTGCTCAGTAAAAAATGTGGCAATGAACCCAGGGATTTCCTGAAAGGAAACCACCTGTGGGCTGGTTTATCTCGCGGTTATTCCATGTCTCATTCCCTGCCTCTCTCACACTCGCAAGAAGAACGACAATCCCTTAAAGGAAACCACACAGGATGGCTTATCTCGGGGTCATTCCATGTCTCATTCCCTGCCTATCGCAACAAGACAAACGACATGGCTGTGGGTCAAAACCAATGGGATCCCATTTGAGGGTACGTGAATTCACCACCCATTTTAGAACCTATTCTAGTGGTGGGCTTGGGACGTTCACTGGGGGTACGATTTGGCTTTTGACCCATGGTCATATAGGTGCTGCCGCCTTCTTATTCCTTACATCGTTTTCCGTAGCCCGTTTAAATCACTGGTTTTGATTGTGCCTCACTTTGGTACCAGTAGAGCCGACGAGTTTGGCAACAAGAAAAACGACATGAGAACTCGTTTCCTCGTAGGACGACCTGAAGGAGTTCGAAGGCTTCTGGGACGGCTCCGAAGGCGCCACCGCCGCGGCCCCGGAGGCCTCCGGGGGCTTCGGGGCTTCGGGGCTTCGCGGGGCGTTCCGGCGGCGGTGCAACAAAAGGCGGTGCGGGCCCGCGCACACACGCGCAAGACCCACGACTGGCCCGCATCAATGAAGAAATAAGCAGTAGAACGGAAGCAAAACCCGCAACACCTGTAGAAGAGGGGTGTCTGAGATATGGCCATGGGGTATCAGATCAGAGCAAAAAGGCTGATATGGCCATAAATGTTAAGAGTTGGGACCGCCTCAAAAGTGGCAGGCGGACAAGAATCCTAAAACATGTCAAAGGGTTGATCTTTTCGGTATGTCTTTTCGGGGTGGTGTCAAAGGGGCTCCCAATTTCGACACACCGCCAAAGTTGACGAATTCTCGACCAGTACCCTACACTTGGGCCGAGGTTCCTGTGTGCGACTCAAAAGGATGGCAAAGCGGATGGGTATTCGTTGGATTTTTGCCCACACCCTCTATTTAAAACCCTGGCTTTGTTTTTTTTTGCGGGGGGAGGGGGTGGTCTGAAGGGTCCCTGATTTGACGCTTGGTGCAAATGTCCAGTCTGTGGATTTGGAAGGGACATGGGGGACTAACCCACCTTGCCGCAACTAGGAGACTCGCCAGTCATGTCCCGATGTCACGTGCGAAATCCGATCCCGCACCGCCAACCAAAAAAGGGCCCCGCCTTGGGAACGACATGGCCCACATCGCCGTGGCTTTCGATGCCAGCTCCCGAGTACGTCGCGCAGGGTTCGAGACCTATCACCAGAAGCTGTCGCAAGAAAAGAGCAACTGCGACGGGCCGGAGAAGGTTCCTAGAGTACGCGGGCCACCAGACCGGATGCTTGCGGACCCTGTGCGCGTGGTGGCCATCAGCGACTCCCACCTGCACCACGGTCTCCGTGCAACGGCTTCTTCGCAAAGTATGCATTCGCCCAAACTCGAACTCGGGCGGGAGATCGCCACTGTTCTTCTTCTCCTCCACTAGTGCGCACAGCGCTTCATGCGTTTTCCAGCTCCGCGCGACGGAGTCGGTCGTCATGTACCCGCTGTAGCGCCAGCTCGCCCGGTCCGCGGCAAAAGTCGCCCGGATCGTGCGATCCTACACCCGCCGCTCTGGCTCGTACAGCGTGACTATCACCTTCTGCTTCCTCTGCGCTACGACTTGGCTAGTCTACGGGCGTGCGCTCCATGTTGGCTGGCCCCTGTCTTGAACGCCTGTACGGCAAGGACGCGTCTGTCGCTCGTCAACGGCACTGGCAAGGCTGGAACGTGCACGGAGGCGCGGGCTGATCAGAGGTAGGTCGGAAGAACGCCTGTACGGCAAAGACACGTCTGTCTCGCGTCAACGGCACTGGCAAGGCTGGAACGTGCACGGAGGCGCGGGCTGATCAGAGGTAGGTCGGAGGGGAGGGGGGGAGGGGAGGCGGGGGGGAGGGGAGGCCGCGCGAAGACAGCCGTCAGAAGGCGCGCCCATTTGCTGGAGAGCATTTGCTATTGTCCCCGGGACACAATCAAAGCCTGGTATTAAAATGGTCTACCTAGAACCAAGTAAAGACTTAAGAACTAATTTTAGTTGGGCTTGGGTGGTCTGGAACAGGGAAGAGGTGAAGTTGAGCATCGGCGGAGAATTGCCAGGTGGGGCCGCCAAAGAGCGAGTCTGAGTGCTAGCCCAGGAGATCTTGGAGAATGGCCGCGTGTTCTAGGGCTCGTCACTTTTCGAGGCACGTTTGCGGCTCCAGGCGCACGAAAGCCCCAACGAAGGGCCAGGGAGCGATTCAGCTGCCCAATTGAGATGTTTACAAAACAGAAAACACCTGGACAGGTGCCAACTAGCAACAAAAAGAAAGCCACAACCGAGACGCACACGTCCTGAAGCCATGTGGGGATCAGCCAGGGATGCAGAGACACGAGAGTGGCAGTGGCTCCGACCGCGCTTGAGAAGGGTCTGTATGTGTTGAACTTTCGGCTGAAAGGGTTGTTTTCCGAAAGCCGGTCGATAGAGATTGTTCATCGTAGTCAGCTGGGGTCCCTTTCACATCAAAAACAACACCCTCATTTGAGTGTATGAACCCTGGTGTGAACCCCTACTCTTTCAGCTAATTACCCGTTGTTCTTGGTTTATTTCTTGGACAGGCCACAGAGATGCCCCAAAGGTCATTCTTATGCATGGGGGAATCCAAACCTTTGAACTCCAGACAACACAGAAAGTTGTTGCCTGAAAAACCGACATGTTTTTGGGTTGCTTGGGAGGCCTTGACAGAATTGACCAATCCACCCAATTTTCGGCTCATGTTTGCGGAGAATAGGCTTTTGGGCCACTTCCTGTGATGCGAAGGGAATCCCCTTCCAACTTCAAAGTGACCAAGTCCAGCAGATGACTCATCCCGATATCACAGAGAAAGGTATACTTTCCACAACCATTGCGTCACCCGAACAATCGGCTTAGGGCCCAAGGGTTTCTGGCGTCACTTCGCGTTCGCGAAGCTGACCTGGCGTGGCTGTTGATCCCCGATTGCGAGGAACTTGTTTCGACCTTGTTAAGGCCTTTGGTGGGAACAGAGGGGGGGGGGTTAGGGGACCGCGGGGGTGGGGGGGGAGGGGTAGAACCTGAATTGTCCGTTATTTCCTTCAGTGGCGGCTACCGACTAGAGGTCGGGAACAAAAACTCATGTTTGTTAAATTCAGTGTTTCCAACGACTACTTGTTTCAAGCCACCTTACCAAGCGCATCCAAAAACAAGAGGACACGCACACACACGCGCACACGCACACAGACACACTGTCTCACCAGGCTGGGCCGGGATATGGCGGACCAGTCAAGTCGCCTGATGGGCAAGATGCAGGGCTACATCTCGGGTCACACGCCCTTGGAGACCGAGAGATCTTGCAGCCTGGCTATATGGGTGTGGGTCAAAATTCGTCACCACCAGGATATGGAAGCAGGTTTGGGTTCTTGGTTCCATTTGCCAGGGTTCCATTAGGGTACCCATTTTTGACCCACAGCCATATGCGAGAGATGTCTGAGATGTCTGGCTAGGGTTTTTCTACCAAAGGAAGAGTGGCCTTTGCCCCATGTCAACTGGGTGTTTGGGACAGAATACCAGGCAGAAACGGATTTCTGTCTACCCTCAGATTTTAAGCAAGGTTAACTCACTCTCCGAATATGTGTTTGCTATAGTCACTTTTGCTTGTGCGATTTGAATTTCAAGCAAAAGGCTTGGACTTGTTTAGGCCAATCCACTCAGAAAGTGCGTTGTTTCCGAGAGGATAGCCAACGTCTCCCGTCCACTGGCATGATTGCTGGAACGAGGCTAGCTCAGACTACATAAACCCCAACGACCCTACAATGACCAGGCGTGGGTCTTTGGCTATTGGGTGGTTTGGCATTGGGCATTTGTTTGGGGTTTTGTGGCCACTTTCTGTGATAGGGACATCCCTAAGTGAGAAAGACGTCACGGGAATGGGTCCTACTTGCGCCACAATCAAACAACCTTTTTAGGTGCAGCCGCTTTCTTATTCCTGACATCGTTTTCGGTAGCCCTTTGAAATCGCTGGTTTTGATTGTGCCTCACTTTGGTACCAGTAGAGCCGGCGAGTTTGGCAGACGGTTTGAACATATAAAACAACATACTTATCCCAGCACCCCGCAATGGCTGGCCAATTGCCGGCACATCGATTTTGGGCAAAACGATGTCACTTTATGTCTAAGTGACTGCAAAAGCAATTTGCTATCAAGTATCACTCATCTGTACTTAGTGCAATTTGTGCGATGATACAAGTGACCTTCCAGGGTCCTTTGGAATGGGGTTGCAGGGGCAAGGGGAGAGCGGCCGGAGGGCAAGTTTGAGGTTGGGAGGGGTTCTCGAGGCGGGTGTCACGGCGTGTCACGGCGTGTCGGGGGGTGGCCAATTGCCGTCACATGTACGTTGAACGGTCACTTTTTTGGGATATAAGCGTGTCACCAGCGTGTTGCCCCCCCCTCCCGCCCCCGCGCGTTGCATGTGCAATGATCATGCATGCGTGCCCAACCCCTGAACCGGATCCCCTCTGGCATCCTGAAGTGACGTTTCAACAAAATTGACTTTGCACTGCACTTTGATGATGGCAAAAAAAACTATGTGACCACAAAACCATTTTTAAGCAAGTGCTGGTCAATTGCCGGCACTTCACCCGGGACGCCAATTACCGGCCATCGGGGGGGCCTGGTCTGTATTTTTTTGTTTCTGTGTTGTTCCCTTCTTTCTTGTCTCTTTATCTTGTTTTTCGTGTTTATGATTTTCGTATTCTGTCCTTTTGTTTTTTGTTAATTTCCATAGTTATTTCGTGCTGAATGTGTCATGTCCTTGTTATTTGATTCCTTCTCTCTGCTCTTTGTGTATTGTCCTTTCATTTGTTGGGTCTGTATTTGTGTCTTTGTTTTCGTGCGTTATTTCCTACCTTCCTTCTCCATTTTTTTGAATTATTATTTGTGTATTTACTTGTTTATGTATTTATGTATGTATTTAGTTATGTTTTTTTACACATACTTATTTATTTATTTATTTATTTATTTTCACAGATGTCTTTACTTTTTCTCTCTTGTTTTCTCTTTTTCTCTGTCTCTCTTTCGCTTTCTCTTTCTGTGTCCTTGTATCTCTCCGTCGATCTATCTATCTATTTATCCATCCATCCATCCATCCATCCATCTATCTATCTATCTATCTATCTATCTAATCTAACCTAATCTAACCTAATCTAATCTAATCTAATCTAATCTAGTCTATCTATCTATCTATTTGTCTATCTATCTACCTGTCTATGTTGCTATCTTTCTGTCTATCTTTCGGTCTGCTTTTCTCATGCGTGCTTATTTTTTTCTTGTCTTTTGTCAGAGATGTAACTTTCAACTAGTTGCCGTACCACGGAAGTTCGTTCTAAAATTTCTTCGATCACAAGTGTAGGGGTTGATTCCCCGTTCTCTTTACCCATTCTCTTTCGAAACCACGCATTTTTCCAGGAGTTTGGC